GTATCGTTTGTAAAGTTGTGAACGTTCGAGGATTTTGCTCGCCTTTTCCTCAAGATGAGCCAAAAACATATGTGCCAGAATGGGGCTCAATGGAGTTCCAATTGCGACACCGTCAATTTGTCTGTAAGCCCAACCAAGGAAGGAGAACGATACGTTTGTTGTGCACAGTAGTAATTGTCGTACCAGAACTGATACTGGTATACCGATTTTCAGTTCGTTTTGCTCCACATGATCACACATGATACGTATGACCTCCCGACCGGGAACATTCGTAAACAGTGATTGGAAATCAAATGAAGCCATGTGCTTCCCTTTCACATTGATCTGGTCCAAAAGCTTTACCACTTCGAAACTGTCTTTTTTATAGTGTGTCTGACCATTGATTTATGAACTGGCTCAAGCAATTTCTCCAGCCATTTGGCCAATTCGTGTTGTGGTGAATTTGTCATAGATAGTAGTAGTATTGGTCCAAGTGGCACTCCGGGTTTGTTTAGTTTCGGTAAACCATACAGTTGTGCACTTCGAGTTCCTTTTGGCTTCAGATGGTGAGCTGTGCTTTCATCGATGAAGTGTCCTTCTAGTAGAAACTGTACTGCTGTCGATATCTGTTGTTCTAGTTCTTTAAGGACTTCACAGTCATCTTCGAGTACAAACTTGCTGGGATCATGAAGAACACTTTCCATCTTCTTCTCATAATCATTCCGATCGATCAGCACTGCTCCGGACCCCTTGTTAGGGCGTAAAACTAACAAATCAGGTCACAACTGTAGCTCTTCAATGGCGGATGTGAATGTGCTCAGGCGTGAAGAGTGACTTATGTTTGGACGATGTCATCCGGTACTGTCGTTCCAAGTCAACCAGCTTTGCTTTGAACCAAGTCTCCGCATCTTTTCAAGTTCGTTTGACTAATTGTAGTTGTTCGAATAGATATTCAAATTGCGCCTGTGTCTTTATGCTGGTCATTTTACTCGGTGGTATGCAGAAACGTAGACCACACGAAAGAGCCTGTAGTTGAAGTTCATTCGTTTAACCGGAGACAAATTCTTCACAAACCTTTCTGGTTGTTTCGGAAAATTTGGTTCGACTAACTTGTGGACGATGGAATTCTGAAGCTTGTTGAATGTACAAAGTTTGGCTTCTCGTATGTTTTCCATGCACAAGTTGGTAAATTTGATTCGGCTAACGAGGCTCAGTTCGTCAAGAATTATTGATCATTCAATGCACGTGGTCTGAAGTGTCGTTAGATTTTCTTTATAATCATCAATCTGACATCGCATCAAACGTCTCAAATTCCTGGTAGAGGCACAGATTTTATTCCTCCGTAAGCGTTTGCAAAACGTAATCGGATATCTGTTGCAACGGGCACGTTGTTCCAGAAAATGAATACGGACTCGAGTTGTGGCAATTTCACATCTCAATCTGACTAGGTCATCGAGAGACCTAATGGTTGATTTCGGGAGACGAGATCTGAGGAAATTTAAACATGCTTTTCCCGAAATAGTCTTGAAAAGAAAAGCCACAGTTGCAACATTGCACGATTCGTGTCCGGGACGATTTCGCTGCATCTGAACATGGTGCACACTGCACAACCATACTGTTTATATAAGTTCATGTAAAACCATAATTTTCGACAAATATAGGGGAAATTTCAATAGTCAAGTTACGTCACCATGATAAAGACACATGAACAAAGAGCTGTTTGTGCTGACACAATATTAGGTTTCCATGAATGTATGGCAATGGTTTGAACAAACCACAAAAGCCCGGTATTCTTTGCCACGTAAATGACCCGAAACGCAGTGGTTCGGTCAGCTGGATGTTGCGTCATCAGAAGATGACGAGCGACGGCCGACGGCCGACGGCCGACAGCCGACGACGGGATCTTATGGTTTCGAACGTTGTCATTATGCCTTTGATCTGACCCTGATTGCATCACAAAACGTTGTACCCAATTTGGAATATATTCAATCACTCGGTTACGTAACTGGCGCTCTGTTCGACCCACGTACGTTGCTCCGCAACTACACTGAAATTGGTAAATCAGATTCGATTTGGTGTACAGAGATGGACGTTGTTTCACCGAGGGTGTGGGGATCTCAATCGTTCGATGAATAATTCTGAGGTCAGGTGCATAATATTTGTTTTGGGCAAGCGCTGATCCAAGTGGTCGTTTGAGCAAGCAATTGATGTCATCACGTTTGAATGGAAGACAAAGGGTGACTAGTAGTTTTTCTGCTGAACAATTCGTTTGTCTGATCAATTTAGGCTTGCTGTGCTTTTCGATAAACGCATCGGGATAAGCGTTTCTAGTCAAAGATTCTTTCAGCTGTCGTAGTTCGTTGTCAATCATGTCTTATGTGCAGATATGTCGTGCTGTTTGAAATAGTGTTCGGACCAGACCACGTTCATATTCCACAGACACAAAGCTGTCAAATTGCAAGCATTGGCCTGTCCAAGTTTCTTTTCGGTAAACAGATCTGGCCATTGTTCCATCATTATTCCTAGTCATTTTAATGTCGAGGAAGTGCAGTGTATCTTCGATTTCTGTTTCCATCGTAAATCGTATATTCGGATGCAGGCGATCGAGTTTATCCATAATCCATGTTGTCTCTTCTAGACTTATTGTGATGACTAGAACATGATCAACGTATCGTTTGTAAAGTTGTGAACGTTCGAGGATTTTGCTCGCCTTTTCCTCAAGATGAGCCAAAAACAGATGTGCCAGAATGGGGCTCAATGGAGTTCCGATTGCGACACCGTCAATTTGTCTGTAAGCCCAACCAAGGAAGGAGAACGATACGTTTGTTGTGCACAGTAGTAATTGTCGTACCAGAACTGATACTGGTATACCGATTTTCAGTTCGTTTTGCTCCACATGATCACACATGATACGTATGACCTCCCGACCGGGAACATTCGTAAACAGTGATTGGAAATCAAATGAAGCCATGTGCTTCCCTTTCACATTGATCTGGTCCAAAAGCTTTACCACTTCGAAACTGTCTTTTTAATAGTGTGTCTGACCATTGATTTATGAACTGGCTCAAGCAATTTCTCCAGCCATTTGGCCAATTCGTGTTGTGGTGAATTTGTCATAGATAGTAGTAGTATTGGTCCAAGTGGCACTCCGGGTTTGTTTAGTTTCGGTAAACCATACAGTTGTGCACTTCGAGTTCCTTTTGGCTTCAGATGGTGAGCTGTGCTTTCATCGATGAAGTGTCCTTCTAGTAGAAACTGTACTGCTGTCGATATCTGTTGTTCTAGTTCTTTAGGGTCTTCACAGTCATCTTCGAGTACAAACTTGCTGGGATCATGAAGAACACTTTCCATCTTCTTCTCATAATCATTCCGATCGATCAGCACTGCTCCGGACCCCTTGTTAGGGCGTAAAACTAACAAATCAGGTCACAACTGTAGCTCTTCAATGGCGGATGTGAATGTGCTCAGGCGTGAAGAGTGACTTATGTTTGGACGATGTCATCCGGTACTGTCGTTCCAAGTCAACCAGCTTTGCTTTGAACCAAGTTTCCGCATCTTTTCAAGTTCGTTTGACTAATTGTAGTTGTTCGAATAGATATTCAAATTGCGCCTGTGTCTTTATGCTGGTCATTTTACTCGGTCGTATGCAGAAACGTAGACCACACGAAAGAGCCTGTAGTTGAAGTTCATTCGTTTAACCGGAGACAAATTCTTCACAAACCTTTCTGGTTGTTTCGGAAAATTTGGTTCGACTAACTTGTGGACGATGGAATTCTGAAGCTTGTTGAATGTACAAAGTTTGGCTTCTCGTATGTTTTCCATGCACAAGTTGGTAAATTTGATTCGGCTAACGAGGCTCAGTTCGTCAAGAATTATTGATCATTCGATGCACGTGGTCTGAAGTGTCGTTAGATTTTCTTTATAATCATCAATCTGACATCGCATCAAACGTCTCAAATTCCTGGTAGAGGCACAGATTTTATTCCTCCGTAAGCGTTTGCAAAACGTAATCGGATATCTGTTGCAACGGGCACGTTGTTCCAGAAAATGAATACGGACTCGAGTTGTGGCAATTTCACATCTCAATCTGACTAGGTCATCGAGAGACCTAATGGTTGATTTCGGGAGACGAGATCTGAGGAAATTTAAACATGCTTTTCCCGAAATAGTCTTGAAAAGAAAAGCCACAGTTGCAACATTGCACGATTCGTGTCCGGGACGATTTCGCTGCATCTGAACATGGTGCACACTGCACAACCATACTGTTTATATAAGTTCATGTAAAACCATAATTTTCGACAAATATAGGGGAAATTTCAATAGTCAAGTTACGTCACCATGATAAAGACACATGAACAAAGAGCTGTTTGTGCTGACACAATATTAGGTTTCCATGAATGTATGGCAATGGTTTGAACAAACCTCAAAAGCCTGGTATTCTTTGCCACGTAAATGACCCGAAACGCAGTGGTTCGGTCAGCTGGATGTTGCGTCATCAGAAGATGACGAGCGACGGCCGACGGCCGACGGCCGACAGCCGACGACGGGATCTTATGGTTTCGAACGTTGTCATTATGCCTTTGATCTGACCCTGATTGCATCACAAAACGTTGTACCCAATTTGGAATATATTCAATCACTCGGTTACGTAACTGGCGCTCTGTTCGACCCACGTAGGTTGCTCCGCAACTACACTGAAATTGGTAAATCAGATTCGATTTGGTGTACAGAGGTGGACGTTGTTTCACCGAGGGTGTGGGGATCTCAATCGTTCGATGAATAATTCTGAGGTCAGGTGCATAATATTTGTTTTGGGCAAGCGCTGATCCAAGTGGTCGTTTGAGCAAGCAATTGATGTCATCACGTATGAATGGAAGACAAAGGGTGACTAGTAGTTTTTCTGCTGAACAATTCGTTTGTCTGATCAATTTAGGCTTGCTGTGCTTTTCGATAAACGCATCGGGATAAGCGTTTCCAGTCAAAGATTCTTTCAGCTGTCGTAGTTCGTTGTCAATCATGTCTTATGTGCAGATATGTCGTGCTGTTTGAAATAGTGTTCGGACCAGACCACGTTCATATTCCACAGACACAAAGCTGTCAAATTGCAAGCATTGGCCTGTCCAAGTTTCTTTTCGGTAAACAGATCTGGCCATTGTTCCATCATTATTCCTAGTCATTTTAATGTCGAGGAAGTGCAGTGTATCTTCGATTTCTGTTTCCATCGTAAATCGTATATTCGGATGCAGGCGATCGAGTTTATCCATAATCCATGTTGTCTCTTCTAGACTTATTGTGATGACTAGAACATGATCAACGTATCGTTTGTAAAGTTGTGAACGTTCGAGGATTTTGCTCGCCTTTTCCTCAAGATGAGCCAAAAACATATGTGCCGGAATGGGGCTCAATGGAGTTCCAATTGCGACACCGTCAATTTGTCTGTAAGCCCAACCAAGGAAGGAGAACGATACGTTTGTTGTGCACAGTAGTAATTGTCGTACCAGAACTGATACTGGTATACCGATTTTCAGTTCGTTTTGCTCCACATGATCACACATGATACGTATGACCTCCCGACCGGGAACATTCGTAAACAGTGATTGGAAATCAAATGAAGCCATGTGCTTCCCTTTCACATTGATCTGGTCCAAAAGCTTTACCACTTCGAAACTGTCTTTTTTATAGTGTGTCTGACCATTGATTTATGAACTGGCTCAAGCAATTTCTCCAGCCATTTGGCCAATTCGTGTTGTGGTGAATTCGTCATAGATAGTAGTAGTATTGGTCCAAGTGGCACTCCGGGTTTGTTTAGTTTCGGTAAACCATACAGTTGTGCACTTCGAGTTCCTTTTGGCTTCAGATGGTGAGCTGTGCTTTCATCGATGAAGTGTCCTTCTAGTAGAAACTGTACTGCTGTCGATATCTGTTGTTCTAGTTCTTTAGGGTCTTCACAGTCATCTTCGAGTACAAACTTGCTGGGATCATGAAGAACACTTTCCATCTTCTTCTCATAATCATTCCGATCGATCAGCACTGCTCCGGACCCCTTGTTAGGGCGTAAAACTAACAAATCAGGTCACAACTGTAGCTCTTCAATGGCGGATGTGAATGTGCTCAGGCGTGAAGAGTGACTTATGTTTGGACGATGTCATCCGGTACTGTCGTTCCAAGTCAACCAGCTTTGCTTTGAACCAAGTTTCCGCATCTTTTGAAGTTCGTTTGACTAATTGTAGTTGTTCGAATAGATATTCGAATTGCGCCTGTGTCTTTATGCTGGTCATTTTACTCGGTGGTATGCAGAAACGTAGACCACACGAAAGAGCCTGTAGTTGAAGTTCATTCGTTTACCCGGAGACAAATTCATCACAAACCTTTCTGGTTGTTTCGGAAAATTTGGTTCGACTAACTTGTGGACGATGGAATTCTGAAGCTTGTTGAATGTACAAAGTTTGGCTTCTCGTATGTTTTCCATGCACAAGTTGGTAAATTTGATTCGGCTAACGAGGCTCAGTTCGTCAAGAATTATTGATCATTCGATGCACGTGGTCTGAAGTGTCGTTAGATTTTCTTTATAATCATCAATCTGACATCGCATCAAACGTCTCAAATTCCTGGTAGAGGCACAGATTTTATTCCTCCGTAAGCGTTTGCAAAACGTAATCGGATATCTGTTGCAACGGGCACGTTGTTCCAGAAAATGAATACGGACTCGAGTTGTGGCAATTTCACATCTCAATCTGACTAGGTCATCGAGAGACCTAATGGTTGATTTCGGGAGACGAGATCTGAGGAAATTTAAACATGCTTTCCCCGAAATAGTCTTGAAAAGAAAAGCCACAGTTGCAACATTGCACGATTCGTGTCCGGGACGATTTCGCTGCATCTGAACATGGTGCACACTGCACAACCATACTGTTTATATAAGTTCATGTAAAACCATAATTTTCGACAAATATAGGGGAAATTTCAATAGTCAAGTTACGTCACCATGATAAAGACACATGAACAAAGAGCTGTTTGTGCTGACACAATATTGGGTTTCCATGAATGTATGGCAATGGTTTGAACAAACCTCAAAAGCCTGGTATTCTTTGCCACGTAAATGACCCGAAACGCAGTGGTTCGGTCAGCTGGATGTTGCGTCATCAGAAGATGACGAGCGACGGCCGACGGCCGACGGCCGACAGCCGACGACGGGATCTTATGGTTTCGAACGTTGTCATTATGCCTTTGATCTGACCCTGATTGCATCACAAAACGTTGTACCCAATTTGGAATATATTCAATCACTCGGTTACGTAACTGGCGCTCTGTTCGACCCACGTAGGTTGCTCCGCAACTACACTGAAATTGGTAAATCAGATTCGATTTGGTGTACAGAGGTGGACGTTGTTTCACCGAGGGTGTGGGGATCTCAATCGCTCGATGAATAATTCTGAGGTCAGGTGCATAATATTTGTTTTGGGCAAGCGCTGATCCAAGTGGTCGTTTGAGCAAGCAATTGATGTCATCACGTTTGAATGGAAGACAAATGGTGACTAGTAGTTTTTCTGCTGAACAATTCGTTTGTCTGATCAATTTAGGCTTGCTGTGCTTTTCGATAAACGCATCGGGATAAGCGTTTCCAGTCAAAGATTCTTTCAGCTGTCGTAGTTCGTTGTCAATCATGTCTTATGTGCAGATATGTCGTGCTGTTTGAAATTGTGTTCGGACCAGACCACGTTCATATTCCACAGACACAAAGCTGTCAAATTGCAAGCATTGGCCTGTCCAAGTTTCTTTTCGGTAAACAGATCTGGCCATTGTTCCATCATTATTCCTAGTCATTTTAATGTCGAGGAAGTGCAGTGTATCTTCGATTTCTGTTTCCATCGTAAATCGTATATTCGGATGCAGGCGATCGAGTTTATCCATAATCCATGTTGTCTCTTCTAGACTTATTGTGATGACTAGAACATGATCAACGTATCGTTTGTAAAGTTGTGAACGTTCGAGGATTTTGCTCGCCTTTTCCTCAAGATGAGCCAAAAACATATGTGCCAGAATGGGGCTCAATGGAGTTCCGATTGCGACACCGTCAATTTGTCTGTAAGCCCAACCAAGGAAGGAGAACGATACGTTTGTTGTGCACAGTAGTAATTGTCGTACCAGAACTGATACTGGTATACCGATTTTCAGTTCGTTTTGCTCCACATGATCACACATGATACGTATGACCTCCCGACCGGGAACATTCGTAAACAGTGATTGGAAATCAAATGAAGCCATGTGCTTCCCTTTCACATTGATCTGGTCCAAAAGCTTTACCACTTCGAAACTGTCTTTTTAATAGTGTGTCTGACCATTGATTTATGAACTGGCTCAAGCAATTTCTCCAGCCATTTGGCCAATTCGTGTTGTGGTGAATTTGTCATAGATAGTAGTAGTATTGGTCCAAGTGGCACTCCGGGTTTGTTTAGTTTCGGTAAACCATACAGTTGTGCACTTCGAGTTCCTTTTGGCTTCAGATGGTGAGCTGTGCTTTCATCGATGAAGTGTCCTTCTAGTAGAAACTGTACTGCTGTCGATATCTGTTGTTCTAGTTCTTTAGGGTCTTCACAGTCATCTTCGAGTACAAACTTGCTGGGATCATGAAGAACACTTTCCATCTTCTTCTCATAATCATTCCGATCGATCAGCACTGCTCCGGACCCCTTGTTAGGGCGTAAAACTAACAAATCAGGTCACAACTGTAGCTCTTCAATGGCGGATGTGAATGTGCTCAGGCGTGAAGAGTGACTTATGTTTGGACGATGTCATCCGGTACTGTCGTTCCAAGTCAACCAGCTTTGCTTTGAACCAAGTTTCCGCATCTTTTGAAGTTCGTTTGACTAATTGTAGTTGTTCGAATAGATATTCGAATTGCGCCTGTGTCTTTATGCTGGTCATTTTACTCGGTCGTATGCAGAAACGTAGACCACACGAAAGAGCCTGTAGTTGAAGTTCATTCGTTTACCCGGAGACAAATTCATCACAAACCTTTCTGGTTGTTTCGGAAAATTTGGTTCGACTAACTTGTGGACGATGGAATTCTGAAGCTTGTTGAATGTACAAAGTTTGGCTTCTCGTATGTTTTCCATGCACAAGTTGGTAAATTTGATTCGGCTAACGAGGCTCAGTTCGTCAAGAATTATTGATCATTCGATGCACGTGGTCTGAAGTGTCGTTAGATTTTCTTTATAATCATCAATCTGACATCGCATCAAACGTCTCAAATTCCTGGTAGAGGCACAGATTTTATTCCTCCGTAAGCGTTTGCAAAACGTAATCGGATATCTGTTGCAACGGGCACGTTGTTCCAGAAAATGAATACGGACTCGAGTTGTGGCAATTTCACATCTCAATCTGACTAGGTCATCGAGAGACCTAATGGTTGATTTCGGGAGACGAGATCTGAGGAAATTTAAACATGCTTTTCCCGAAATAGTCTTGAAAAGAAAAGCCACAGTTGCAACATTGCACGATTCGTGTCCGGGACGATTTCGCTGCATCTGAACATGGTGCACACTGCACAACCATACTGTTTATATAAGTTCATGTAAAACCATAATTTTCGACAAATATAGGGGAAATTTCAATAGTCAAGTTACGTCACCATGATAAAGACACATGAACAAAGAGCTGTTTGTGCTGACACAATATTGGGTTTCCATGAATGTATGGCAATGGTTTGAACAAACCTCAAAAGCCTGGTATTCTTTGCCACGTAAATGACCCGAAACGCAGTGCTTCGGTCAGCTGGATGTTGCGTCATCAGAAGATGACGAGCGACGGCCGACGGCCGACGGCCGACAGCCGACGACGGGATCTTATGGTTTCGAACGTTGTCATTATGCCTTTGATCTGACCCTGATTGCATCACAAAACGTTGTACCCAATTTGGAATATATTCAATCACTCGGTTACGTAACTGGCGCTCTGTTCGACCCACGTAGGTTGCTCCGCAACTACACTGAAATTGGTAAATCAGATTCGATTTGGTGTACAGAGGTGGACGTTGTTTCACCGAGGTTGTGGGGATCTCAATCGTTCGATGAATAATTCTGAGATCAGGTGCATAATATTTGTTTTGGGCAAGCGCTGATCCAAGTGGTCGTTTGAGCAAGCAATTGATGTCATCACGTATGAATGGAAGACAAAGGGTGACTAGTAGTTTTTCTGCTGAACAATTCGTTTGTCTGATCAATTTAGGCTTGCTGTGCTTTTCGATAAACGCATCGGGATAAGCGTTTCTAGTCAAAGATTCTTTCAGCTGTCGTACTTCGTTGTCAATCATGTCTTATGTGCAGATATGTCGTGCTGTTTGAAATAGTGTTCGGACCAGACCACGTTCATATTCCACAGACACAAAGCTGTCAAATTGCAAGCATTGGCCTGTCAAAGTTTCTTTTCGGTAAACAGATCTGGCCATTGTTCCATCATTATTCCTAGTCATTTTAATGTCGAGGAAGTGCAGTGTATCTTCGATTTCTGTTTCCATCGTAAATCGTATATTCGGATGCAGGCGATCGAGTTTATCCATAATCCATGTTGTCTCTTCTAGACTTATTGTGATGACTAGAACATGATCAACGTATCGTTTGTAAAGTTGTGAACGTTCGAGGATTTTGCTCGCCTTTTCCTCAAGATGAGCCAAAAACAGATGTGCCAGAATGGGGCTCAATGGAGTTCCGATTGCGACACCGTCAATTTGTCTGTAAGCCCAACCAAGGAAGGAGAACGATACGTTTGTTGTGCACAGTAGTAATTGTCGTACCAGAACTGATACTGGTATACCGATTTTCAGTTCGTTTTGCTCCACATGATCACACATGATACGTATGACCTCCCGACCGGGAACATTCGTAAACAGTGATTGGAAATCAAATGAAGCCATGTGCTTCCCTTTCACATTGATCTGGTCCAAAAGCTTTACCACTTCGAAACTGTCTTTTTTATAGTGTGTCTGACCATTGATTTATGAACTGGCTCAAGCAATTTCTCCAGCCATTTGGCCAATTCGTGTTGTGGTGAATTTGTCATAGATAGTAGTAGTATTGGTCCAAGTGGCACTCCGGGTTTGTTTAGTTTCGGTAAACCATACAGTTGTGCACTTCGAGTTCCTTTTGGCTTCAGATGGTGAGCTGTGCTTTCATCGATGAAGTGTCCTTCTAGTAGAAACTGTACTGCTGTCGATATCTGTTGTTCTAGTTCTTTAAGGACTTCACAGTCATCTTCGAGTACAAACTTGCTGGGATCATGAAGAACACTTTCCATCTTCTTCTCATAATCATTCCGATCGATCAGCACTGCTCCGGACCCCTTGTTAGGGCGTAAAACTAACAAATCGGGTCACAACTGTAGCTCATCAATGGCGGATGTGAATGTGCTCAGGCGTGAAGAGTGACTTATGTTTGGACGATGTCATCCGGTACTGTCGTTCCAAGTCAACCAGCTTTGCTTTGAACCAAGTCTCCGCATCTTTTCAAGTTCGTTTGACTAATTGTAGTTGTTCGAATAGATATTCAAATTGCGCCTGTGTCTTTATGCTGGTCATTTTATACGGTGGTATGCAGAAACGTAGACCACACGAAAGAGCCTGTAGTTGAAGTTCATTCGTTTAACCGGAGACAAATTCTTCACAAACCTTTCTGGTTGTTTCGGAAAATTTGGTTCGACTAACTTGTGGACGATGGAATTCTGAAGCTTGTTGAATGTACAAAGTTTGGCTTCTCGTATGTTTTCCATGCACAAGTTGGTAAATTTGATTCGGCTAACGAGGCTCAGTTCGTCAAGAATTATTGATCATTCGATGCACGTGGTCTGAAGTGTCGTTAGATTTTCTTTATAATCATCAATCTGACATCGCATCAAACGTCTCAAATTCCTGGTAGAGGCACAGATTTTATTCCTCCGTAAGCGTTTGCAAAACGTAATCGGATATCTGTTGCAACGGGCACGTTGTTCCAGAAAATGAATACGGACTCGAGTTGTGGCAATTTCACATCTCAATCTGACTAGGTCATCGAGAGACCTAATGGTTGATTTCGGGAGACGAGATCTGAGGAAATTTAAACATGCTTTTCCCGAAATAGTCTTGAAAAGAAAAGCCACAGTTGCAACATTGCACGATTCGTGTCCGGGACGATTTCGCTGCATCTGAACATGGTGCACACTGCACAACCATACTGTTTATATAAGTTCATGTAAAACCATAATTTTCGACAAATATAGGGGAAATTTCAATAGTCAAGTTACGTCACCATGATAAAGACACATGAACAAAGAGCTGTTTGTGCTGACACAATATTGGGTTTCCATGAATGTATGGCAATGGTTTGAACAAACCTCAAAAGCCTGGTATTCTTTGCCACGTAAATGACCCGAAACGCAGTGCTTCGGTCAGCTGGATGTTGCGTCATCAGAAGATGACGATCGACGGCCGACGGCCGACGGCCGACAGCCGACGACGGGATCTTATGGTTTCGAACGTTGTCATTATGCCTTTGATCTGACCCTGATTGCATCACAAAACGTTGTACCCAATTTGGAATATATTCAATCACTCGGTTACGTAACTGGCGCTCTGTTCGACCCACGTAGGTTGCTCCGCAACTACACTGAAATTGGTAAATCAGATTCGATTTGGT